ATTTTAACGAAAAGTAATCATTTGTTTTATGTTAAATTCAATCGTGAGTTCATATTTATGGTCATGTTACTCAAAGAAATGTTTGCAAAAAAATCGCTAATATTTGCTAACTAACGTCATATCATTATAGACTGCACGATAGTGCCACAACATTTGTTCATGTCTGATCAGGGCGATAACCATCATAGACATTGAGGGGGGCTTATATATCGCTAAACCCTTTTCTCAAATATTGCCAATTTGAGAGAGAGAGAGAGAGAGAGAGAGAGATGAAAGTTGTGTGTCTGTGCGTTTCTCTTTTTAGAGTGAGTTTACTTAAAAAAACAGCGATTTTATCCTGTCGTTGCTGGAAAATATAATGTAGCGATTCAGTGTTTAAACTGTTATTAATAAAAGTCGTGGTGCAGCATTGACAAGTTTCTTTTCTCCTAGATGTGCGAGCTGCACACATAAAATAGAATTGGGATTGGGCCTTAATCTACAGATTAAAAGGAAGCAATAAATTCAACATAATCCTATAAAACCAAATTTAATTCTTCCAAGGTAAAAACAGCGTTAATGATATTAAGAATATAATTTTAAATTACTTTAGAAAGTACCATCGGAACTTCTGCATGGCGCGGGTTACTGACGTCATCACCACCGCAAGTTTAGGTCTTAGTTTATCAATAATCAAAAACAAATTACAATATTTTTTTTGAGGATGCAAACGTCTCTTAACACGATTAGTCGCACTAGCTGTTCTTAAGTTAAAGTAAGTCAAAAGTTGTATTTGTTAACTTTAGTTAAAGCACTGTGAAGTGAACTAACAAGAACAAACGATGAACAGCTGCATTTTTATTAACTAATACCAGAGTTGGGACTTTCAAGTCACAAGCAAGTCTTCAAGTCATATCCCAAGTCCTCAAAGAGTTAAAGTTAATGAGATCATTAAGTGAGTAATTAAATGATGATTGTGCATTAGTGATGAGCACCTGCTGTTATTGAGAATTACAGAGGATCAGATGTTGATGTTTTATTGGTTAAAATGATGGCACCATCATGGAGATCAGTGTTTGCTTTAAATTGCCTCTTTACCCTTGATATTTGATGTCTGTCTTAGCAACGATGCATAAAGTCTTGTATAGCAGAGCAATCAGCGCCATGCAGCCATTAACTGTTTTTACATGATGACAAAATCATCATTAGTGCCCTGATTACAGTCACGTAAACTCTTTTTATTTCTATTGATATGTTTAGGTTTTGTATTAATAGACCAGTGAAACTGCAGCATATAAACAAGCTACTGCTCTGATAGTCTGTGTGAATGTATATTAATTCTATGCAATGCATATGCAAATTTGTATGCCAGTTGCATTTAGACACACACAGACATCAAGAACCAGCATATGAATGTCAACAATGGTGACAATCAACAAAATGTTTCATGCTGCAAAGCATGCTGGGTAACACCATGGTAAAAACTCCCATCATGCACTGCAGTATGAATAATTATTGTCACCCCCATTGAGGATCATATGATAAGTGTTCATGTCTAAAAGCCGGAGCCAATTCATTTTTTCATATTTAATATCAAAGCATTATGGAGGTATTTGTTTAGAGAGATTTTTTTCAGTAATAGTTGACGGTTAGTCAAACTTCATTTATGAAAGTCATCATGAGTTACATGCAGAAAGTGTAAGCTCATCTGCTACTTCAAGGTTTTGATTCAGCAATGCATGCACGTTTGCTCTGAAACAACATTGCAGTTGCTTAAAAACAAATGATTTTGGAGTTAGCAAAAGTGTCAAGAGACCAACTAAAGCAAACCTTGACCACAATTATGGTGACTTTGCGTGTATGTGTTTTTTTGTTTCAGTTGATTTCATCTAAGGCTGTGGCTAAAGTCAGATGTAGTTCTTGTGTTTCTCTTTTCTTCAGTGATGTTGATTGTTAACAGCAGCTGTTCATCACTAATGATCAATCATCATTTAATTAGTCACTTAATTATCTCATTAACTTTAACTCTTTGAGGACTTGGGATATGACTTGAAGACTTGCTTGTGACTTGAAAGACCCAATTCTGACTAATACTAACAAAGCTTAATAAATACTGTAACAAATGTATTGCTCATAGTTAATGTTAGTTAATACATCAATGTCAACAAATTAAACCTTATTGTAAAGTTCTAACATTGTAAAACAATGTTTTGCCTTATAGAGAAAAATATGTAGTTGATAAAACCACTAAATTATAAAAAATAAAAAAATTAGTCAGCATTCTGTTAAGTGAAATTAACAAATTTAGCAAACAGACAACTTTATCCACTAAAACATTTATTTAGCTTTCAGTTTCAGTTGCCAATTCAAGTAAAAAAAAATTAAAATAATAATCATTCGTTCATTCATTCATGCTGTAGTAGCAGTCCATAGAACAGAAGCCAGCAAACTCTTTGCCTGAATAGAACGCTGTGAAGACCCCCTTCTTTCCATGGCCACAGTATCCAGTAGTGTTTTTGCAGATGCATCTACAGCCATCACACCTGGTGAGCTCAAACTCCACTCTGTATGTCTGTATGCAATAAACTTTATAAATATTTTTAAAAACCTTGTTCAGTTAATAAAAGTACTAAATATACATACTGTCCAGTCAGGCAAAGTGAGCTTTACTTTGAAAACTGATGCCATAAAACTTTCTGCACACTAGTGTCAGAGTGAGAAAGGCTCCATCTCTTTCTTTATAACAACATCTAAAAGAATATGTCTGAGCAGCTCTGACGGCAGCTGAATAAAAAACAAATTATATACAAAACTTTTTAAAATATGAAATTACAACAAAAATATACAGAAAAATCAAGTTACAGGAATGTACCTAAAAGAGTACAAATGCTTTGTCACTCCAACTGTACCCTAGCGGGGTACAGCAATGTTGGTACATTTTTGTACCTTCTTGTTTGTACCTCTAAAATAACTTTATTAACTTTAGATTTATTCACCCCTAGTGACAGAAATGTACCTTATGTCCTAGTATGGTTTCAAATTAAATCCTGATATACAAAACACAGAGGCAGTGCACGTTTCACAATTTTTTAGTCATGACAAATTTCTGAGCATAAAAGTTCAGAACATTTTCAATTCAGTTTTTATATATAATATAATTGTACTGCTGACTCTTCACTGAGACAGTAATTTTTGTTACCAAAAGGCCCAAACATGAAGTAAATATGCTTCCTGTAGATGTTTTCTAAAAGAATGGAATCACAAAAAAGTTGACTGGCACTCATCTATACTGCAGGTTATACTAAAATTTGGTTCATGTGCATGTACAACTCCAACATGTTGGATTAACTTCAAAAGAGTGAATGTCCTTCGAGTGCACTTTGGGCAATGGTACACTTGAGGCATGAGGATCTAATACAAAAGGCTAATCATCCGGAGTAAAGTTACTGGCAGCGGCTTGTCTCCCTCTTCCACAATGTTGACAATGTGCCTCTGAAGGAAAGTCAGTGTCTTTTTCAGGTGTGGTGGATATGCAATGTTGAAGGCAAAATACATACAAAAGGCTGTTATGAAGGCTTCATCGAGGCTGGTGCACTGGCGCATGTCTATTCCATCTACTTTCACCACACTGAGCCCTCCTCCTATGATTGCCATTTTCCAGTCAGTATCCATTATATAATATTCAATTATATTATAATATAATTGTACTGCTGACTCTTCACTGAGACAGTCATTATTGTTACCATAAGGCCCAAAAATGAAGTACATATGCTTCCTGTAGATGTTTTCTAAAAGAATGGAATCACAAAAAAGTTGACTGGCACTCATCTATACTGCAGGTTATACTAAAATTTGGTTCATGTGCATGTACAACTCCAACATGTTGGATTAACTTCAAAAGAGTGAATGTCCTTCGAGTGCACTTTGGGCAATGGTACAGTTGAGGCATGAGGATCTAATACAAAAGGCTAATCATCCGGAGTAAAGTTACTGGCAGTGGCTTGTCTCCCTCTTCCACAATGTTGACAATGTGCCTCTGAAGGAAAGGCAGTGTCTTTTTCAGGTGTGGTGGATATGCAATGTTGAAGGCAAAATACATACAAAAGGCTGTTATGAAGGCTTCATCGAGGCTGGTGCACTGGCGCATGTCTATTCCATCTACTTTCACCACACTGAGCCCTCCTCCTATGATTGCCATTTTCCAGTCAGTATCCATCAGTTGTATGGTTGGAAAGGGTGTGTCAGGGTCCCCCTACATTAGAAAAAATAAAAATACAAAATTGAAAATGCAAATTCATCAAATTTTGTTACAGCCATATTTAGCTCAGACAGTATAGCTACATACAGTGCAGAACTGCAAAAACAATCAGAAGGCTAATGTATAAGATTCACAATATATGATGCATTTCATGTTCTTGTATAGACTGATAAATCTCACATTGTTTTCTAAAACCATTGTTTTAAGATTTTTAACTGTAAAAAAGTAAGTGGTTAACGGTAAATTCCCCTACTATATACGGTGAAAAACTGTATTAAACATTACATGTATTGGACATTAATTTTACGGTAGTATACCATTTTTTTGGAAGTGGAAAAAGACCGTATAATTTACAGTGAATAACCGTAAATTGACATTCCCAGAATTCCCTGCGTTACATTTCAAATTTAACATTATATGTTAAATATATTTAACATTATATCAGTTAATGAAATTACGATATTTATCTGTAAATTTAAGTTAAACCCGTAAAACCTAAAACGTTGCTACTGCATTTTTTGCAGTAAAATTCTGGCAACCACAGCTGCCGTTTTTTTACCGTAAATTTTACAAAAATTTTTTTACAGTGATATGGGCTAAAAGAGTACAAATGTTAATGATTTTGTTTTTACTATACTCACTCCAGCAGGTGTCCTCAAGTAAGGGTATTTTTTGAGTGCATCCTCCACAGACATTCCTTCCATGTTTTCTCAACGTCTCCAGGAGAATGTTCGTGCCATGTGGTCTTGGACAGTCGAGATGTCTGGATGTGTTTTCCGATACGCACTTTGTAGCACATTGACATGGGCCTCAACAGACATTGAATCCTCCCCAACACAAGTGTCCTTCATCAGAAAAACAGAAACAGATAATGCTTAGACCTGCATTGAACTGCATAAACATTAAGACGATGGTCAGGCAGTGAAAAAGTGGAGTATATACAAAAAAAAAAAGATTTAAATGTCTGTAGTATCTGCCTTACATTGTCCTCCACTAAGTGAAAATGTAAAATTAATTAACAGTGCAAAAATAAGTTATGCATACGGCAGTGGGCTTACATATGCTACACTAGCTGGCTTTTGAAACAAACCTGCAAGTGGTGCACGTTCTGCTTTAAATTTCCGGTTTAGGGACATGTGTCAGGTGGGCTAAAGACACAAATTTGACTGTTTGTCATTTTCCAGCAAGTAAAGATTATAAGATATTGTTACTACAATATCTTGTGTGATTAGGTTGATAGAGATAAATCAATGGATTAAAAACAATGCAACTTACACAGTCATTTCCTTCCATATCTGTACTTCACAATCAGTGTGTTGGCAACTTGATTATACTCTGCATTAGTTGGATACCTAGCAGAAAGGTAGAAACAAACTCTAAATTAGTTTTTTTTTATATTTTGTCTAATCATCGTCATAGATTGTGAATTGATCTTAGTACAGTTGTAATAGCAGAGGTGGAAATAATTATTATAGTTACAGGATGTATTCTGTACTGTATTGCACAAAAAGGACACCGATACAGACTTCAAACTCTGAAGGCTTCGCTTTCGATGCATATGCGGTCATCATTTTGTCTCACTGTACTAACATGCATCTGTCAACAACAATAAACAAATTATTAAAGCTGCAAGATATAATGCAAAGGAAATCAATTATGATCGTATTGTAACAAGCTACCGTAATATACATATGTGTGGTATATAAAAGCATAGATAAACGTATGATGAATTACACCATGTCTTACTGCCGCCACCTTCTCTTGTCTAAAAGAAATTATGTAAATGTATATTTACCGCTGATTGGCCAACACAGTAAAACTTATTTCACCATTGAAAAACCTTTCAGCACGCCCATTGCTCCAAGCTGCAGCTACTCCTGCCTCTTTTGATCAAAACAAACTTTAACAACATCTGTGTGACTATACCAACAATGTCAAAAGTCGTTCACAGTGTTGACGTAATCAATAAAGAAAACCTAACTCAGTTATTGGGGTCACAATATGACGATTATTTCAAATCACAAGAAACGACACATGATCAACCTTATTCGGCACACACTGACAACAAGAACCAGCGTATGAATCTCAAGAACAGCATATTCATATTCTCTGTAAATAAGTGTCTATTTCTTATGTTCCAAGAGAGGAGATTTTAAAAACTTAATATTTTAGTTTTATTCAGTGGTCAAGAGCCCAACTGAAGCAAACACTGACAACCATGATGGTAACCTAAAAAAATAGATTTTCTCCTTCAGTGATTCTGTTTGTTAACATCAGGTGTCTTCAATAACTCTTTTTTGGGGGCTTAAAAGCACAAGCTTTTGAACACAATGCCTGTGTCATCTCCATGTAATCAACAAAAATGTGAATTTGTGAAAAAGTTTTTGTTGATTACATGGAGATGAAAAGTCATGTGCACGCGTATAATGTTTTCGCAGGGTGTTTTTTGCTCGCCAACTACTGGCTTGGTATGCATACCATAGTATTCATTAGAATAGTGGTTTTTTTGTTGTCCAATGAAACCAGTATTTTTTCTTAGAATTTTACTTATTTTTTCATGCTATTTTACTCATTTTGAATGGTTAATTGTTAGCATTTCATTTGATTAATTATATTACATTATAATGTGTTGATTTAATTAATAATATTGCTTGTAATATTTTAAAACAAATATAGTGAGTAATTATTTTACAGTGGGGCTTTTTGCGGTGTTAAGAGGTTATCTATCCATCATCTTGATATTGAAATTGGATCCCACATGCACTGTTTTCATTCCTCAAATTCAAATTTTTTATGAACGTTGAAAAAAATCCCTTTGTAACTTCCCCTTGTAAAAGTGCACCTTGTTTTGAAACTGAATAAGACAAAGGCACAATGTTTTTCTCTTAGGATTTTGGGATTATGGGTATTGCAATTATGCACCAGGAGATCTGCAATTATTAAACATAACGTTATGACTTTATCTGTTTTACTCATTTGGAAAATAGCGAGTCAGTTAATTAATTTACTTGATTATTTTTGGACAGATAAGAAGCTAACAAATAATTAATGCTAACCTGTGGTAGTTTTGTCATCTGGTTTAGGCTGCAGAGTGTTTAGTCTGCCACAAGAAAAAGGCAAGTTGACCATAAACTACAGTAACATGCTTAAATTGCAAATTAACAGTGAAATACTGGCAGCAGAGGTGACAGTAGATTAATGTTCATTTTTGTTACGCACTATGCCATTGGGGAGTGCGAGAGTTACATCAGCCTCAGACCATAATTGGCAGAGGTGGGACTCTCAAGTCACAAGCAAGTCGTCAAGTCATATCCCAAGTCCTCAAAGAGTTTAAGTTATTGAGATAATTAAGTGACTAATTAAATGATGATTGTGCATTAGTGATGAACACCTGCTGTTATTGAGAATTACAGAGGATCAGATGTTGATGTTTTATTGGTTAAAATTATGCCATCATCATGAAGTTCAATGTTGTAGAACTCCCTTGACTCATTCCTCTTTGTTGCAATGCATGAAGTTGTTGTACAGTGAACAGCTATTAGCTGGTTTTATGTGATGAGATAGTCATCACGAGCTGGCATCATCACATCATAACAATATTTTTTTTTCTTGTATATGTATTTGGTTTTGTATTATCAGCCCTGTTAAACTACAATTCACAAGGAACATACTGATTTTATAGTTATAATGAATAAATATAAAAATGTCTGTAATACACTCAACATTTATATACCTAATATCACCTACACACACACAGACATCAAGAACCAGCATATGAATCTCAACAATGGTGCCAATAAACAAAATGCTTCATGCTGCAATGCATGCTGGGTAACACCATAGTAAAAACTCCCATCATGCACTGCAACATGACAAATTATTGTCACCACTGTTGAGGATCATATGATAAAAGTGTTTGTGTCTAAAAGCCTGTGCTGACAGAAATGTTGTTTTAAATTACAGTATAGCAGTAGCATCTGGTTAATTATTTTTTTAATTTTACAGTTCAGTAACAGCTGATTGTCAGTCAATAAACCAAAGAGAGCCCACTTCATGATGTTCATTCATCATGAGTTATAGATAATGTAAACTCATTTGTGATTTCAAGGTTTGACTCAGCAAAGCACACGTTTTGCTATAAATCAATTTTGTAATTGCTTAGAAACAAATTACTTTGATTAAGTAAAAAGGGTCAAGAGACCAACTAAAGCAAACCTTGACCACAATTATGGTGGCATCATGTTGTTTTTTTCTTTTCTGTTGATTTCATGTAAGTCTGTGGCTGAAGTCAGTTGTAGTTCTTGTGTTTCTCTTTTCTTCAATGATATTGATTGTTAACAGCAGCTGTTCATCACTAATGCTCAATCAGCACTTAATTAATCACATAATTATCTCATTAACTTTAACTCTTTGAGGACTTGGGATATGACTTGAAGACTTGCTTGTGACTTGAAAGCCCCACCTCTGCATTTTTCGAGATCAGATGTTTGTCAGTGGTGCTCAGGATCTGTAAATCATTCGCCATCATCCTCAGTAATCTCCCCTTACTCTGTTTATGTGGTAAGTGAAATCTTATGTACTGTAATGTAACAGGCTACCGCTAGCAAGCAGCTAACCGTGTCCCTTTAGTGGCTCGCGTTATTTTATTAGAACGCGTGTTATTTGTTTACCGTGCCTTTCTGAATACAGACACCAACCCATCCCTGCACATTACATCCCCTGCACAGCCTGGAACATAATTATTACCATGATCTGCCATTTTCGCAATTATCCTCGCTTGTTTCTTAACAATACCTGAAGAACTTCTGATGATTCGGCTGGCATAGAACATGGGCGGGTATATGCAAATGTTAGCATTTCATTTGATTAATTATATTACATTATAATGTGTTGATTTAATTAATAATATTGCTTGTAATATTTTAAAACAAATATAGTGAGTAATTATTTTACAGTGGGGCTTTTTGCGGTGTTAAGAGGTTATCTATCCATCATCTTGATATTGAAATTGGATCCCACATGCACTGTTTTCATTCCTCAAATTCAAATTTTTTATGAACGTTGAAAAAAATCCCTTTGTAACTTCCCCTTGTAAAAGTGCACCTTGTTTTGAAACTGAATAAGACAAAGGCACAATGTTTTTCTCTTAGGATTTTGGGATTATGGGTATTGCAATTATGCACCAGGAGATCTGCAATTATTAAACATAACGTTATGACTTTATCTGTTTTACTCATTTGGAAAATAGCGAGTCAGTTAATTAATTTACTTGATTATTTTTGGACAGATAAGAAGCTAACAAATAATTAATGCTAACCTGTGGTAGTTTTGTCATCTGGTTTAGGCTGCAGAGTGTTTAGTCTGCCACAAGAAAAAGGCAAGTTGACCATAAACTACAGTAACATGCTTAAATTGCAAATTAACAGTGAAATACTGGCAGCAGAGGTGACAGTAGATTAATGTTCATTTTTGTTACGCACTATGCCATTGGGGAGTGCGAGAGTTACATCAGCCTCAGACCATAATTGGCAGAGGTGGGACTCTCAAGTCACAAGCAAGTCGTCAAGTCATATCCCAAGTCCTCAAAGAGTTTAAGTTATTGAGATAATTAAGTGACTAATTAAATGATGATTGTGCATTAGTGATGAACACCTGCTGTTATTGAGAATTACAGAGGATCAGATGTTGATGTTTTATTGGTTAAAATTATGCCATCATCATGAAGTTCAATGTTGTAGAACTCCCTTGACTCATTCCTCTTTGTTGCAATGCATGAAGTTGTTGTACAGTGAACAGCTATTAGCTGGTTTTATGTGATGAGATAGTCATCACGAGCTGGCATCAT